GGGGGGGGGGGGGGGAGGGTAAGATTTGCATGCCTTAGCGGTTAGACAAATTATGTACGGGAGACAGCTCCTGGGATGTCGGGTTTGGGCCGTCAGGAACGCCGGCTGTGCAACCGGGGGGGGGAGGGAGGGTAGGTAAGATTTGCATGCTTTAGCAGTTAGACAAATTATGTACGGGAGACAGCTCTCGGGACTGTCGGGTCTGGGCCGTCAGGAACGCCAGCTGTGTAACATGAAGGAGGGTGGGTGACCCTGTCTGTGAGTGCTTCGTCACCAACGGTGCCACAGCAACTAGTCATTCGTATCAGCGCTTTTTTTTTTTTGCCATCCTGCGTTGTTTAGTGAGGGTGTCCGTCAAGCGAAAGTTAGTGCTTTTTGTAGGTCCGACCGAGAATTGTGTCTTCCGTGGGTAGTTTATCTTTTCGTGCCGTCGCCAATGGAAACGACCACGTCACCTTAGGTGTTGGGAGCAGCCATGGTGGTTGACCTTTTCAGAGACATTCGCATTTCTTTTCGGTTAAGCAAAACATGTTCGGTGTATTCAAACAATCGGCGGAGTTGGGTTAGGGTTAGGGAATATGGGCTGCATACCCCCTCCTTGTTATATTTCCTCATCAACTTTTTATCTTGCGAACGAGACGGTCCGATCTTTTCCGCATGCTCGACGTTATTAGTGTCTGGAAGAACTATGTACCGACAAGGGCGTGTTTGTGACTGGTGCAGCTCCAAGAATGTTGATACTTCCCATCTTGTCTCCTGCTGTTCGTGGCAATGTTTTTTTGTCGTGTCGCTATTGTCGCGGGTTTCTACTGATGAGCTACTACCCGGTGAAGTCGTAACAGTTTGGCGGTTTTTTGCTCTCGATTATTGTTCTTGGTTCTTTTCGTGCGGCTGTTAAGTAGTTGCGAGGAACCTGTGATGTTGGTGACGTTGTTTGTCGGTGTCGATGTTGTTGAATTCGTCGTTGTTTGTTGTATGTTGTTTGTTGTGGTTTGTAGCTGCTGTTGTTTTGTTGGCCTTGTTTGCTATAATCGCTCGTTGCCGGTGCGGTGTTGTCGTTGCTGTTGCTGATCACACAAGCGGCCTCGCGAAACAATGTTTGTTCCTCTTCCTCTCTGGCTGTTTGTACGGGCCAATACCATGACATTTTGCGGACGGCGTGCTTTCTTTTTTGTTGTGTTTGTCGCGACAGCCAGTGCGACCACGTCAACGCCGACTTCGCCGGAGTTCCGTCAGTGAGATATATATGTTGGTGGGCAGAGTTCTGCGGCAAACAATCGCCGTGCACGCGCCTACACTTGCTTGAAAGTTGTGTAGTATGTCACTGTCTACAGTAGAAACCACTGTAAAAGTGCCGGTATGTGCCCAGAGAGTTTGCCGGCACTATTATACCGGATCGGCAGATTTTCAAATTGTTGGAGAATGACATGGAGATTCAGTGTGTGCCCGCCGAAAACACCGGCACTATGCCGGGCACTTACCATTATTCAAACGGCACTATAGTGCTGTAAACAGGGACCTCTGTTGTAATATTAATAATGGCACGTGCCACCGTCTTGTTCTGCCGTAATGATATTTCGTCAGGTGGCCACGTGCCGCCGTCTTGTTCATCGATTCCCTCGGTGTTTTTCCACCTGTCATGGTGCTCTTGTATTTTCTATTCATTACCCTAGTGCTGTTGCATCTTCTGTTCGTTCACGTTTGTGCACAATAATCGTGTCTAGTCTCGGTATGAGGGTTGGGGGATTGGAGGGGCGGGAAACATGCCGGACGGGAGAGGAAGGGCTTGGTGTCAGGGGGACGAGGGGATCCGCATTAGTCTATGCACGCTTTCCCATTCCGGGGGGGAGGCTACGGCAGACAGCTGTGGAATGAGCGGGGTATTTGGGTCCCGGCACCAACCAGATAGTTATAACAGGAGGGCTATAGCACCTGTGCGTCGACATACGCACTCTCACAAAGTACATATTGCAATGACAAATAAACATGCTACTGGGGTTACGTTTTGCTCCAAGGTGCCACTTGACGTGTCGGTTTCTCATGTTGTCATGGGACACAACTCCTGCGTGACTACCTTTAGTCTTTGTTGAGTCCCTCCTCACCTTCATTGAGTCCTTCCTCCCCCGAATTCGACTAGTATAGTAGGTGCGAACACGTTGAGCTAGCTGAGAGAGCCATGGATGTCGTCCTAGATCGATAACAAAAAGATGCAACCCCTTCCCTTGGTGGCGGGAGGATGCCTTGCCGGAGCCAGTCTCGGACCGCGTGCTACGGCTGATTATCCGCAACAGGCGCGGAGAGATGGCACCCCCCCCTAGACCGATTCTCAAAGCCCGATTGCTCCGCAACCAAGCTTGAGCCAACGCTAACGTTGGTGATTTCGGAAGCATCTCGTCGAGGGCTTGCTGTCGGACTATCGGGCTCTCAATACCCACTTGGTTGCGGAGTCATCAAGCTTTGAAAGTCGGTCTAGGGCGGGGTGTCATCTCACCGCCCCTTCCGGTAGCACAGACTCGTTGCTGCCGACGGTCGAGCGGGAGGCCACGGACGACGGCTGAGAGAGATCAATAAATCTTTAGCTCTTCGCATCGGTCGGATGATCGAGACTGACCCTACCGCTGACAAGTCCAAATGGTTTAAGATTGCGTCCCCAAAACCGAAAACTAAAAAAGCACAAAGCAAGATACCAAAAAGCGCAACACATCCACCTTTATTGGTTCGGCTTCCAACAGAGTTAACTCCCACCAGAGAGGCAGGCAAGTGCAGTAGTACGGTGTGCCAAGATATAGCAAAAGCTCAGGTGTTCCAACAGCAGTAGGGTTCTCTAGCCGTTAGGAAACCCGTATGTGACAGCCTGGTCCGGTGAGAACCCGCCGGCGTGCTCCGCCCCTGCTTTGTAAGGATGCGAGGTCAATGGTCTAAAGGCTACGGCATGCACGACTATGAGTACACCCCCCCCCC